CTTGTAGTGCGCAGAAAAAGTCATGCTACCAGTTGAACTAGTGGATGCTTTTTTAAAAAGTATTAATTACCAAATGACAGGTATTAATAATATATGTGATTATATACTTCTAAATAACACCATTAAATATATCTTAATTATATTTATATTATAACTTTAAACTGTCATTACTTTTGAAGACTGCATCTCTACATTTTGGATAGGGTTTGGCTTTCTTGGACAGAATTTGCTAAGCATATAGAGCAGGGAGAATAGTTAAAACCTTCCTGGCTTTGCCAAATACTTTCATATGTTTTTGCTCTTATGGAAAATGAGTTTTGATTTCTTTTCAGCCTACATGCATGGCAAAGCAAAAATGGAAAACAAAGCTAGCAACTTTCCAACAAGTTCTAGTTAAGTCTGGCATTCATATATTGCTCTGATCTGCTCTAGAGCTTTCACATAGTTTATTTCTTAGAGTTGGAAAAGCTAGTTTCAGCACCAAGCGTCATCGAAAAGTAATGATAAAGAAAATGGAACTGAGTTAGGTTTAGGATATAATCTAGTTAATTTTAGTTCTATTTCTGAATTAGAAATGAAAGTCATTCCACATGATTTTTGTTTCTTTTGAGAACTTTCATAAACTCTAATCACAGGCAAAAATATGCTCCTCATAATAGATACAACCTTCCCTACTTCATAGTTTTCTATAACTGTGTTGCTCAAACTTAATGGCAGTTTTTGGCCTACACTCAAGCCCCAGTATCTCTCCCCTTCAACCCTGACCCTTCTAGACCCGTCTTAGCTATAGCTGTCTGCCAGAGTAGGGTAGTGAAGCTGATACTGTATTCTACTGGCTTACACTAATCACAATATTCTGTATCTATGTCTATTTTCATACTATTTCAGATTCTTTGTTACTCAAACTACTATTATTCATATGTATATTTTAACAAGTGCCTGATTCACTTCCTTCTAAACAAAGATATGTAGATGATAAATCTTGGTTTAAAAATTAGCATAATTGTCGGGCGGTGGCTCAAGCCTGTAATCCCAGCACTTTGGGAGGCTGAGGCGGGTGGATCACGAGGTCAAGAGATCGAGACCATCCTGGTCAACATGGTGAAACCCCGTCTCTACTAAAAATACAAAAAATTAGCTGGGCATGGTGGCGTGTGCCTGTAATCCCAGCTACTCAGGAGGCTGAGGCAGGAGAATTGCCTGAACCCAGGAGGCGGAGGTTGCGGTGAGCCGAGATCGCACCATTGCACTCCAGCTTGGGTAACAAGAGCGAAACTCCGTCTCAAAAAAAAAAAAAAAAAAAAAAAATTAGCATAATTTCTATATCAGAGATATATGAACCCATTGAATAAAACAATCTTTAGGTTCTTAAGGTTGCTTAAATTAAAAACATGAGTTTCAACAGTTGGAAAAAACATGTATGGTTAAAATGTTTGAAGCCCATCAATCTCTCCAACCACATAAGCTAATGAGTTCCTTCTGTTTTCTTTGAATGAAATCACCATGAGTGGTTATATGTTGATTTAACATAAAACAAATGGAAATGGGTGTTTCTTTTGTCCTTTGTAGAATTTATTTTAAAAAACAATTAGCAACTGTTATGAATAAGTCAATGATTTTGTCATTACTTAAACAATAATATAGATTGAGTAATTAAATTGATTGGATTGCAGGGAATGCATAACATACTCCAACTCTCCTTAATTTCCTTAACTTGCACACATCTGTAGATATTATTAAGCTTCTCATTTCATTTTTTTCTACCATAACACGTGTATTGTTATGAATTGTCATAGAGTGCCAGGTAGATTATGTTTTCTGAATGTGGATATACTCTAAGGTGTGGTCTTTTAAGAGTTCCTTTGTAATGGCAGGTTTGTGGCTAACAGCTTAATCTTGAATCTATCAATACAATTAAACACCATTTCAATTCTCCTTTGTGGATATACAAAGAAGGTCGAAGTACTACCTCTAAAGAACAAAGAAAGAATTAAAAATCTTTAATATTTAAAACACCGTCTTACACAGTATTTTTATATGTAATTTTAAAACATAGCAAGTCTATTATTTTTTAGGAAAAAAGTGTGAAAACTTTGAAGTCTATAGAATACACATCCTATTGAAATAAGATTTGAAACTTGTATGGGGCATTTTTCTACTTCCTTTAATTTTAATTCACTTTTGATAAATTCTTCCCCCTTCCAAGCATCCCCTTTTATTGTGATGTTGTCTCTTTAAGAATATAGTGAAGAGTGATTCACTTATGTCCTGAGCATCAAAGAATGTCAAATATATGCTGCAGATAGATAATGGTTTTTTCCAGAGATTATTTCTGAGAGAGTTAAATAAATAAGTAAATGAGTCAACATATGGCCAGCTTAATTCAGGCAAAAATGTCTATTGATTACTTACTAAGCTCACTAAATAAAAACTTCAGCCAAAGTTTTGTTTCCCAAAAGAAAATAGGATTAGACTGATCCATGCACTCATTGGGGTTTCTTGTGAATCGTGCCCAGATGAGTGAAAACCTTTAAAGATGAACAAAAGAAAGGGCTAAAATATTTTGGCAAATGCAAATTACTATTAGTTTGACATACTGTGTTTTGCAATCCTGAATGAAATAATTTTACATTCCTAAGGAGATCACAAAATTACCTCTGAGGTCTGAGAATTAGATAATTCTGCTTTCTTTTCAATGACTTGAAGTACCTGATTTAATTTTCCTAGGTAGATCTGTTGTATTTTGACATATGTAAAAACTTAGGTGCATTATAAGGTTTCACACCAGCTCTGCATAAGTATACTTTTTCCAGACTAGTTTATATCCTGCATGGTTAATATTTGAATTATGTTATGTAAGAAATTCCAGATGGAAGTGTGTATATAGTTTAAAGCACTAATGCTCCAAGTTGCTCCTTTTATCTTTTGAAATAGTGAGAATATTAAAACATCAATACATCAAGTAGAAGAAATTAGATTATCAAAGGTTCTTTTTTAATCTGAGAATTACAATGAACCCACAAAAAGAACATGTTTTAGTTTTTTGGAGACGTGTACATTTAACTTATGATTTCCTACATGTCAAGAACAAACTTGACCAGTAGTTGGATTGGATTTACTTTAGTACTACACATATCTGGCTTTCTGACAAAATACTGATAGGTATTTAGAATCTTCGTGTCTTTTGAACAATCTGCTGTTGACATATTAATAACATTGTTTGGAATCATTCCTGAAGTATGATGCCTGCAACATTCCTGCAGCACCAAAAAGTACATACTGTTTCTGAAAGCGCAGAAGCTCAAGTTTCACACTATTTTTTAGGTTTTAAATATTGGAGAATTATTTTCTTGAAAACCGAGGTAAATATGCTTCTTCAATTTATGGTTGCATTCATTAGTAGAATCAGTGGTTTACAAAAACATCTGAAAACATAGCTGCTTCCAGCTCAGAAATTTTGTAATTAAAAAAAAAAAAATCCATGTTTGAATGTTCTGTCATGCACAGGACACTTAACTGGGCTTTTAAACGTTTTTCCAGCGTGATTCGCCCTGCTGTGCTCTGTTCCTTTCAGCTCAGGTCCATCGTTGGCTCTGCCCGGCCGTTTGCTGACATTGCCAATGGAGAGGGGCTAGGAATTATGTTCAGAGGACAAGAGCAAAGGCAGTTTCAATGTAAGGAAATGAGGGAAACAGACCTAACAGCACTGTGACTATACTTGAGAGTAACTAGAGCCTGGTAGTCTCCTTTCCTTCCTTTGCTTATCCTGCTGAGTTTAATCAAAAACAAACAAAACGCTCTTGTGAAATACAGTCAATAAAGTCAAAGTTTAGCTAGCTCTACGTAACTACAGAGAAAAAAAATCATCGCAATTTAAAAAAATGTAACTTTCATTAACGAGCGCGCCGGAAATCTCAGGTATCAAAGACGCATTAACCCTGGAGCGTCCCCCGCGCGCCGCAGCTGGACCGAGGCAGCCGCAGCGAACAGACATTCTTTCTCCTCCAAGCAGTTACACAAAAGGAGGGCTGCGGAAACTAAAAGTTTCGGGGCCTCCGGCTCGGTGCGTGGAGAAAAGAGAAAACCTGGAGACGGGGTGGGTTTAAGACGCATCCCGGGCGCCTCTCCGAAGTCCAGGCCAGGAGCAAGCTCCGGGGCCTAGAGGGGAGGGGGCCCCCGAGCCGCCGGCCAGACCACTGCGCCCAGCCTCCGAGCGCCGCGCTTTGCGGCGCTCTCCCAAATACCCTTCACCCTACTCCAGAAATAAAATAAATATTTTTAAAGTGCAATGTGTGTGGACAGGACGGAGAGAGCGCGCGCCGGCGGAGCGCGCGGAGGACCCAGCGCGCAGTGAGTGGAGTTTGGGGTGGGTTGTGGCGTAGGGGTTGAATGGGTGTGTTGATGGGGGGGCTGGAGGGAGAGCCCGGGGATCTGGGGGTGGTTGGGGGCGCGAGCCGACGGGGAGGAGAGAGAAGGGGAGGGACACGAGCTGGCGCAGGCCGCCTCCGGGGCGCGTTCCACGGCCGTGCGCGCGCGTCCCTTGCCGCCGCCGCCGCCGCCGCCGCCGCCCGGACAGCCCTGCGGCCGCCCCGCCGGCGGAGCCGGGGCCGGCCTGGTCCTCGGGCGGCTGCTCGGCCACCGCCACCGCTGTCCCTACGGCTAGAGCCTGTAAGTGTCTCCTCTGGCTCCCCCTCCCCGCCGCTCGGGCGCACGGCCGCTGCAGCTGCTCAAATGGAGTGGAAAATGGCCATTGGGCGGCAATGAGTTCTAGATTATCTGCTCCACGTTTTGTACTTAGCTGCCTGTAATCTTCTTTTGAGTTTGCTCGAGCCCCTTGCTGGAAAAATCAGGAGGGAGAGATTTGTCCTTTACCGCGGTACACGCTAGTATGTTTATATGATTAGCCCAACTGGCGGGGGGGGGGGAGGGGGGCTGTGGGGATTTGGGGGAAGAAGGAGGAGGAGGAGGCTGGAGGTGACTCCAGTTCAGACCTCGCGGAGAGTCTGTGTCAGGACTTCGCGTTCCCCCGTCTCTCCCTCGCTCCCTCGCTCCCTCTCGCTCTCTCTCACTCTCTCCTCTCACACACACGCAGAGGTGCCGGAGCGAAATCGGGAGCTTACCGGAGAATTCCTCGGGATTGTTGGGGGGCGTCCCCCCTCTGCTGCTCTGCGTGGCGGGGCTCTTCCCGGCTCCTCTCTGCTTCCCGGAGCCCGAGTCCGCGCGGCCAGCTTTGCGTGGGGCAGCGGCCACGGCTCAGCCCCGGCCGGGAGCTCCGACATGTGAGGAGGGGCGGCCGCCGCCTCCCGCCCCAGGCCGCAGGGTCGGCGCGAGGGATGCCAGTGGGGCCGGGCGCCCGGCGGGCTGCGGGGCTGCGCCGGACACACTGAGCTGGCCTGCCGGCGCCCGCCCGCCGCCTCGAGGGGACTCCCCAGTCCGCGCACCTCTGTCAGGCTTCTGCCTCCACCACCCCTTTCGCTCTGATTCCCGATTTTTTTTTCCTAAGGGAGCGTGCGGTCTGGGGGTGTGTGCGTGTGTGTGAAAGACCTCTCTCGTGGAGCGGCGTGTGGGAAACTACGGGAAAATGTTGACTTAACCCCAGGAGCCGCCCGGCTCTGGCTGCTCGGCTGGAGGCGGCGGCGGCCGAACAGGAGGACGCGCCGAGCCGCCGCGCGGTGTCCGGCCGGGGAACCGGGGAGCCGCGGCGCCGCCTCCCGCGCGGACTCGGCGGCCGGCGACCCGCTCTCGGCCGACCTCGGCCCTCTCTGGCCCGGGTCCCCGCGCGGCCCCCGCGCCAGACGGCCCTCCCCCGGGGCGCGTTCGCAGACGGAGGTAAGAGCCGCAGGAGCGAACAATGTGCCTCTGTGCCCGGCTTCGGAGACCTGTTTGCTTTGCGCCTCCTGTCCGGGGGTGGATGCCGGAGGCGGGCGGGAGCCGCGGGTGAGTGGGCTCGGCTGTTTGTTTATGTGCGGCCGGGCCGGGGGAGACCCGCGCTCGCCGGGGCTGCTCGCCCCTTCTCTGCCCCCCTCCCCTTCGGAAATCGATCCGCAGAACTCTCCGTCCGGCCCAGCCGGCTTCTCCTTTTCCCATGGAGCTCTTGTAACGCTCTTGTAACGCTCTCCAGTCTTCAGTCTAGCTGCCCGGGGCGCTGGAAGGGGGGTTAGGATGAGGCTCCCGTTACCAGGCATTTCTGAATTTCATAAAAGCTTGGGTTCGGAAGGTACCCCCCGTCCTTTCACTGGCGGGCGGGGAGGAGGAGCGCGAAGCGGGTCCTCGGCCCGGGGGCCGCCCCAGCGCCCCGCCCGCTTGCCCACCCGTCCCGGGCTGTAAGTGGAGCGGGGAGGCTGAACGGCTGCGAGCGAGTTCGGGGGCAGTGGACGATGGGGGAGAGCTTGGACGAGTTTTTGCGGGTTGCTGTTTCTTCGGGTCGGTGGTTAGGTGGTGTGGAGAGGAGAGGATGACAGCAAAGCCCAGCCAGATGTGGCCGGGCCGCCGCCGGGGCTGGCTGCGATTCGGGGCGGCGGGGCTGCCGCTGCCGGGGTAGCCTCGTGGGGCAGGAGGGTGCAGCGGCCGGGGACCTGGCGGGCCGCGGGGAGGGCAGAGAGCCTCCCGGACCCGCAGTGAGAGGGCAGCAGCGGGCCGCGTGGGGCCTGCGGGAGAAGTTACGGGTGTGCTGCTGGAGTGGCTGTGGGGTAGTAGGGAGCCTCGGGAACCTGGTTTGTGGGATGGGGGTGCCATTGGGGAGTAGCGGTGGGAGAAAGCCGTGGGAGGAGCGCGAGGGAAGGGGAGTCCCAGCGCTGCCTGGGCGTGGGCTCCTTGATTGGCTGGGGCGACCCTCGGACAGAAGGGCGAGGGCGAGCCAAACCCTGGAAGCGCCCCAGCAGTGTGGAGGCGCGCCTGCGAGACTTCGGCGCTTGGGACCTGTAAAGTTTTTTCCTTTCGCCGAACTGCGGGGTTGGGGTAGGGGAAATCGCTGGAAGCTTTACTTAATGCTAAAGTGTCGCTGAATGGAGACGTTTTCTCTCTCTCTCTCTCTCTCTCTCTCTCTCTCTCTCTCTCTAATCTTCTGTTCACTCTGTGCTCTCAAAGCATAGTTGGAGGGACAAGTCCTGCGGTATCCATCCTAGCCTTTCTCCTTTTAGGGACTCCTCCCCCTCATCTTTTCTCTCTCCCTCCGCCCCCCATTCCGTTCTTCTTGATGCATACTGTTGTCTCAGATTCATACGGAGAAAATGTTTTCCTCCTGTTTCTTGAAAGGTGTCGGGCTGCTCAGCAGCTTCTCCAAGCAGCCTGGGAGCGTCTGAGCCGCAGCCACCAACCATATGGTTCCCGTTACAAAGGCCAGGTTCTAAGGCACTCTCTTTCCCACCCCTGCCCCCAAGTTCTTTGACTTTATTCTGCATTCTTTCAGTATGGGCACTTCTCCTCCCCTTTCGAGAGGCGCAGGTTTAACGGACGTAGTTGATTCATTCATTTCCCTGTCACTATTTATGTCTGGAACGGGCCCCACCGAGTTTGCTCTCTGTTCAGCGAAGTTGCACAAGGAAGAAAGTCACATCCTTTGGTAAATAATTACCTGTTGGGATGTCTCTTGCTAAGTCAGGTTTGATCTTAAGCAAACCTTAGAAGAAAGACACTAAAGAGGCAGCATGCATCCACAGCAGAAAAATAGAATAGTTTTGGTACTCAATCTGTGGCACCATTCCAAGTTGTGAAGATACTGTTTTGACCTAAGAAAGGGTACTTTATAACTTTAGATTTAGTGTCTTTGTAAAACCCTTTAACCCTTTAACAGAAAAATTACTTCTGTCCAGGTGTGTTATGGAACTTTGTGTGTTGTCTCTCCCTCCCCCTTCGATAAAGTAATGCATAATAGAAAGAATACTACAGAACAAATGTTCTGTTGTTTAGTTTCTTCAGACATTCCGATTCTTTCCTTTTGTTGCTTGCCTCTGAAAGAGGTGCCATTTCACATCATTCTGCACAAATTGTTTGAATTAATGCAAGTGTGAATTCTTACCGTTTGAAGGGGACTATTAGCATATCAAAGGTTTCTTAGCTTTAGCTCAATTGAGAAAACTTCAGCCTGTCTTCCTTTTGCTTCCAAGCGGAGGCCCAAAGGGCAATGAGAATTGTAAAGGGTAAAAATAGGGAGGTGGTTTCAGGCTGTGTTTCTGAACTTTTACTGTTTTGTAATTATGTGAGCCAAAAACATTGTCTATTGCTGTGGAGCCCTTGCAAATGGCAAGACAACTATTTTCTATTGATAAATGGTTTGTTCCTAGAAAAAGACTACTACCTTTTGTTTTATGATAGTCACTGTTGCCTGTTTTTTGGGGTCCCTTCAGTGTAAGAGAGTGAAGAAAGCCTTTCCTTCTAACTTAATGCTTTTCTAGGAATTACACTTTTGTTTTATTAGTAAAATGAAAAAGGCGTTTAATTAGTTTTTAATTAGTCTCTAAAACAATAGAAATTTTGTGATTAAAAGACTCATTTGCACACATAGGAAACTTTGTTTTTTAAGTGCTAAATTAATAGGGAAAAAGTCAGTGGAGGATGTTGAAAACTAAAACCTCAAATGGACTTTACGAAACTTCTGTTGCAAATGTAAGCTTGGAAAAGTTTAAGTGAAGACTCAAATTTCTGTGAATTCTGTTTAAATAGAGATAATTCTGTGTAAATATTGTTTTGTTTCAAAATTTTTGTATCTTGTCAAGCAGTGAACTCTACTATTCAGTTGGTTTATTTTAAAAAAATACAGTTTATTCTTTTTTATGTTTGCAGAGAGATATGTTATTTGAATTTCTTTTAACAACTCAGTATCCATTAATGAAAAAAAAAAAAGAACAAGTACTTAGGTCATTTGGGTTACTTCTCAAGTGCAGACGGGTCAAGGGGGAACTTTTACCTTTAATTTCTTGGGAAGAATTAGTTTTACTTATTTGACTTCATAATTTACAAAACTTAGTTCTAAGATGGAAATGAATTTCAGGGGAGTTTTTTTTTTTTTTTTTGAGATGTAAACTCATATTTTTTACAGTTTTACCTTAGATAGTTGGGTTGCTTTTGAATATGAATTGATGCCTTTTCATTTACTAATGTTGAAACTCCTTTTATTTTAATAGTGAAAATGAATTCCAATATAACAATTTCAGAGGGGGAAAAACTATCATTAATTTTGTAACATATTTAGTTTAAGTATAATAGGATACTTTTTTTTCAGATTATGATTAGTTTTTTTTTTTAGTGCCGTTGAGATTGTAATAACATTACCCCGAAATTATTTTATGGTAGTTTATTTATCTGATCCCTTCACTTGTCTAGGAAGTACTTTAGTGGTAAAAAAGCCTACATTGATGTAATTGCTATTATTACAGTTAAGTTGCTGTTAACTAGTCTACTTTGAATGCAGAGTGTTACAAAGAAAACACATTGTCCTTTAGAGCTATTAGTGATAATCTAAAAATTGTCTTGAAAATATTGCTCCTCACTTTATATGAGGGTGATCTTGAATTCAGTAAATCTCTAAAGGTGCAAAATGCAGGGAAAAGAAGATTTTTTTCTACATTTAAATGCCAAATTGGATTACTTAGAGAAAAATTAATGTGTTGTAGAAGCACTCAGCTGCCATTTTCAGTCACTGGGTTACTATGTGTAGGCAACAGAAAACGAATTTAGAAATGGAGATAGCTCTGGGAGCAGGTAGTTGGGGAAATCAGAATATTGAATCATGTGGGGTAGAACAAACCAATTACTTCAAGTTTTGACTTGAGAATTTCCAGTATATAATTTTTTTCCAGATTTTTGACTCTGCTTTATTAATGGACTAACATCAAAGCAGGCAACAAAACTTCCAAACGTTGTAAAAACTAATATAAATATACAGATCTCACATGCAGTAATACAAGCCTTAATTTGAGACAAGCAGTTGGAGTTTTTATTGCTGCAATTTTCACAATCAGCAGAAACATTAACACCAGGCTTCTGGGTGTTTCCTTTTTTGAAATGAGCTAAAAGAGAGCTTTAAAACTAAGGTTTACTTAGGGTTAATCTTTATTTGATCATTATTGAAGCTCTGTGTGTTTTGTTCAATTTAAAATAGCGTTTTAATATCTTAATATGAGAATTATGTGAATTGAGATTGAGATGTCATGAAGGTCAGGAGGTAACCAGAAATCTGCAAACCATAGTAATAAAATGTTACTGCTTTATTTTCTATCAAAATATTTATTTGACTTAACTTTTGTGAATAAATATTCAAGTAACACTCAGTTTATTGACAGGTGTAGGTGGAATGAAGAGAGCATTACAATACATTCTAAGATACAGATTAAACACACTTGTACTTACCTAAGAGAAATCTGTTTTCATTTTAATAAGAATCCATACCACTAGCCCAGTGCTGATATTTAAGAACATAGATTAGGGTTACTTAGATTAGGAATGAAAGATAGCTTTGGAAATGGAGGAATTTAGTGTCACGTAAGGGTGCTATTTTTACAAAAGTTTCTTCAAAGACTGTAGCACTTTGGCCTCTTACTATTTAACCGTATCTGATTTTGAGTCTTGAAGGGAGAGATGCACATTGGACATCTGTCTGCTTTTCTGCAGAAAAGATTTATGTAAAAATAAGTGCAATTATTTGCAAGGTAATAAATTTTGTAAATAAAATGTATCATTACAAAATATGGTTCCTCAGATTATTTGCAAAAATGCCTAGCTAAAAACTTGGCAAATTAATAGATTTCGATAAAGCATTAATAGCAAGTTTAGCTACTAGACCTGAAAAGGAGTGGAAGTTCTGTGAATGTTTTGGTCTTATCACTTCCTAT